CAGAGCCAGGACTTCCTAGGCATGAAATAAAACAAATCTGGTTAAGCTCCTGCTATTTTGACAGCCACGGTTATTACTCGTCAGCACTGATCCTGGGAATATGTTTTTGTAGACAAGGTATTGCTCCATAGCTCAGGGCAACTTCAAATGTGCAATCTTTCTGCCGCAGGAACTCTAGGATTATAGTTGCAAACTGCCATGGCTAGATATTACATACTCATTTCCCCACTTTGACACAGTATCTCCTGCAGTCCAGACAGGCCAAGCACTTGCAATGTAGATGAAGACCACTTGGAGCTTCTCACCTTTATCGACCAAGTGCTGGACTACAGGCATGTACCACTACTTCTGATTTATATGCTGTATATGCTACATAATCACTCTACCAAATGAGCTACATTCCCAGCCATTACACATCGATCTTAATCCTAGTCAATAAAAAAAAGTAAGGGATGTACCATGGTTGAAGCTTTCGGTTTTACTTCTAGCACTGTAAACAAAAAGAAAAATCCATGTTGATGTGATGGTAATACCAGCACCCAGGAGGCAGAGGAAGAGGCAAGCTCTTTTACTTGTCCCCAACTGAAGCTTTTAAGTGCAACTTTTTTAAAAAAAGATTTTGTTTATGTGTATGGTGTTTTGTATCTGTGATGGGTATTCTTAGCTGTCAACTTGACTACACCTAGAATTAACTAAAACCCTCAAACTCAGAGATTCACCTGCCTCCTGAGAGCTGGGATTAAAGGCATGCATAATAAGTAAAGTTAATCAATGAGCCATCTCTTCAGCCCTTAGGACATTTTTTTATACAGAAAAAACCCAAATGTTTACTATTTACTTACTTGAGAATAAGCTTTTCCACAGCACTTTCACCGATAAAACCAGAGTCTCTTAAATCTAAGGTATACTGATTGAAAATTTTTCCAGAATCGAGGAAATTAAATATTTCTTCACCTGGATGATGATCAGGAATAGCATCAACTGTAACTGAAAATTTCTTTAGAAATTCCCTGAAACATAAAGACGATTGAATATCAAGGAGTTAGGATACAAGTGGTTTTGTATTTAAATATGAAGGCAGTCAGCTGGGGCGGTGGTGATGCTTGCCTGTGATCCTAGCACTCTGTGAGTTCAAGGCCAACCTGATCTACAAATTGAGTTCCAGGACACCCAGGATACACGGAGAAACCCTGTCTTGATAAGAATGTTTTGCCCTCCTCCTTAAAGCTTGTGGTGGCGCACGCCTTTAATCCCAGCACCCGGAAGACAGAGGTAGGCAGATCTCTGTGAGTTCAAAGCCAGCCTGGTCTACAGAGCTAGTTCCAGGACAGCCAGGGCTACATAGAAACCCTGTCTCGAAAAACTAAAAACAAAACAAAAAACCCAAACAACAACAAAAACAAACAAACAAAAAACCCCACTGAGTCTCTCAGTGTGAAGGCTTATGTACATGTACTACTGTCCCCACCCCACACACACACAGGGTATGTCTTCTAACTTAGATATCAGAGATCTGCCTGCCTCTGCCTCTCAAGGGCCAGGATCAAAGGCTTCTGCCACCGCTGCCCCGAGTACCTTGGTTTTAATGTTTGCTTTTCAACAAAACCCAAGTGTATCTTAGTCACTGGGCAGCCAGTCATCAGTGGCCCAGACGTTTTCTAAAAATCAAATTAAAAAATGGTAGCTAGTATGAGCTTATAGACGGTGTGAAAAGACACTACCTGTGTTCTTCCAAGAGGCCATCCTCATCATCTGTACTGTCCTGGTCACCAATTCTAATAGGAGATTTAATGCCTCTGCCTTGTCTTATATCTTCCTGTAGTTGCTTCTGTAGTTCATCTAGCCTGAAAATTGAAAAAATGTCATAATGCATTATTTATATTTATTTATTTTTAAGACAGGTTCTCTCCCTGTAGTCTTAGAACTCTCTCAAATTCAACAGAGATTCACCTGCCTCTGTCTCCAGAGTGTTCAGAGTACAAAACACACACCAGGCCAGGCTTATGATTTATTTAAAAAACAGAGCTGGGCGCCTTATATATAGTGGTAGTTCCAGGACAGCCAAGGGTACAGAAAGAAACCAACTAACCCTCCCTACAAACAAACAAAAAAAAAACCCAACAGAAACCCAGACAACTTTAGCTGTTATCTAAAAGCAGCCTCAAGGAAAACTCTCACTATATACTCTATTTTAAACAACTTCTGTTAGAATACAGGTGTAAATCCTATCTTGACAATACACTATTTAAAAAAATTCTGTTTTATGGGTATGTGTTTTGCCTACATGCATGTCTGTGAACCATGTGCATGCATCGCCCACAGGTCAGAAGAGGGTGTTGAGTCTCCTAGCACTGGAGTCACAAATGGTTGTGAGCCACCATGTGGATGTTGGGAATCAAACCTGGGTCCTCTGGAAGAACCACCAGAACTCTTAGTCACTGAGCCATCTTTCTAGACCCTCGAATATTTCTTTACAGTTAGAAATTTAAGAATGATCTGTCCAAACCAGAGAACAGAAAAAGAGAAATGGTAAATGATGAAATTTGGTTATCTTCTCTCGTCTTTAATACTCACCAGCATCCTGATGTGGATGAGATTTTTGTTTTCATCATCGTCACCACCACATCTAACACTGAGCACTTACTATGGCACACCCAACCACAAGCTCTTGGTGAGACTAAGGAAAATAAGCCATTAATAAATTCACTGTTCGCTGGGCAGCAGTGGCACACGCCTTTAATCCCAGCACTCGGGAGGCAGAGGCAGGCAGATCTCTGTGAGTTCGAGACCAGGGTTAGTTCCAGGACAGTCTCCACAGCCACAGAGAAACCCTGTTTTGAACCACCCCCACCTCCTCACCCTGCAAAAAAAACCAAAACCAAAAACTCACTGTTCTATCACTACTGATGGGTCAAAACTGTCACACCAGATGTTACTTCTGTCCTTGGTCTGAGAAAGATATCCCTACTAACCAGTGTGTTTGTGTACACATGTGCTAAAATAGGTCTTGGGATATATCCTAGGCTGGCCTCATACTAGAGATCTTCCTGCCTCCACTTATGTGTTGAGATTACTGGTGTGTATCACCACATGTAACAATGCTTAATTTTAAACAATTTCTCTAAATTCATAGGGAAAAACTGTTAACCTAAATGTCTGAAAACTTTCTATAGTTATGTTTAACAAGTTTGAGATTTGTATATACTAACTTTTATGTAATCCAGTCAGTCAGCTAAACTTACTTTTAAAGTGACTTAAATTTGATTTTGAAAGCAGGAGTGGTGACACGTGCCTTTAATCCCAGCACTCAGATCTCTGTGAGTTCAAGGCCACTGAGCCATCTCACCTACTCCAGTCAGCTAAACTTTAAATGAAGTTTTCTGGGCTAGTTTCATGGGTAGTCTTTGAATAAATAAGGCATGTTGTTCTCATTAGTATTAAGTCTATAACTAGTCACATAATTTTTTTAATTCAAGTTTTAATTTATGTGTGTGCTATGTGTGTGTTTCCATAGAGGCCAGAAGAGGGTATTGGAACTCCTGGAAGTGGTTTTGAGGTCCAGACATGAGTTTTGAGGAAACAAAATCAGACCCTTTGGAAGAACAGCAAGTGTTCTTAGCCAATGAGCCATGTTTCCAGGCCCACTGTTGAAAATTTATTTTTTAAAATTATATTTAAGCCAGATGCATGCCTTTAATCCCTGCATTTAGGAGACGGAAGCAGGCAGATCTCTGAGTTCTAGAACAGCCAGAACTACATAGTGACACCCTATCTCAAAACACCAAAACCAACCAACCAAAATAAGATTTGCAAGTATGTATGTGCATGTGTACATACATACTAGGTGTGTGTGTAGTCAGTGGATAACTCAAGAGAGCCAGTTCTCTCCTTTCATTATTTGAGCCTTAGGGATTGAAGTCTGCATGTCAAGCAGAAAGTGCTTTTGCTCACTGAACCATCTCACTGGCCATTTATTTATTGAGACAGACACTGAACTTGTAGCACTCTTCCTGCCTCAATATTCCAAAATCTTCAATTACACCAATTGCCACTATTTTCATCAGGGAAATTATGGCCCTCAGGTTTTTTATTTTTTTGAAATTCTGATTTTTTTTGACCCTCAGTGCATAAAGTTGCCTGCTTATCATCATTTTGAACTATTCTTCCAAAGAGTAACATGATTTAGGAATACATGAGCAGTCATTTTGGTCATCAGTTCTGAAACTTGTACTTAATGTTGGGCATAGTGGTACACACCTGTAATCCCAGAATTTGGGGAGACAAGGGGCAGAAGAATTCAAACTTTGGGGCCAGCCATGGCAACATAGTGAGATCATGGCTAACTAAGCAAATAATCATTCCCCTAACCCAAGAAAACAATAACAAAAATGCTTATTTCTGCAGGGTGGTGATGGCTTGTACCATTAATCCCAGTACTCAGGAGGCAGAGGCAGGGGATCTCTGTGAGTTTGAGATTAGCCTGGTCTACAAAGTGAGTTCTAGGATAGCTAGAGCTACAAGGAAACCCTTTCTCTTGAAAACCAAAACAATCTATCTATCTATCTATCTATCTATCTAGTTTTTCGAGACAGGGTTTCTCTGTGTAGCTTTGGAGCAAATCCTGGCACTTGCTCTGTAGACCAGGCTGGCCTGGAACTCAGAGATCCGCCTGCTTCTGCCTCCTAAATGCTGGGATTAAAGGCATGTGCCACCAATGCCTGGCTTGACTCAATTTATTTATAACAAAGAATGGTTCCTTACTCAAAGCAGCTTATATCCAAATTATATGAAAATTGTGTTTTCTCAGAGTTAAATGCTACTAACTTGTTTTTGTTTTTCAAGACAAGGTTTCTCTATGTAACAGCCCTGGCTGTTCTGGAACTCTCTCTGTAGACCAGGCTGTCCTCAAACTCACAGAGATCCACCTGCCTCTACCTCCAGAGTGCTGGGATTAAAGGCATACACCATCACCACCTGGCAAATATGGTTAATTTTTTAAAAAAATTACCGAAAGCTTCATAAATCTGCATGTCATGCTTGGATAAGAGTCCTGCTAATCTTTCCTGTATTATTCCAATTTTAGCATATGTTGCTGAAGTAAGCCCAACATAAAAACACTCTAAGAAAAGACCCTCCTCTCTTTGAGCCAACAGTAAAAATAGGCAAAGCCCCCCCCAACAAACATTGCTCCAAAATTATGAAAAGCCTAATATAACACAAAAATATATTTAAAATGCCAATCAAAATCATGATGAGAAACTGTACCATGCCCTTTAAGATGGCTATTACAAAAGGAAAAAAAGAACAGTGAGAGAGAAAAACAAGCTCTAGAGAAAATGTGGAGAAAAGAAACCCTCATGCATTGCTTGCTGGTGGTTATACAAAGTGCTGTAGTTGCTGCAGAGAACAGTGTGGTGATTCTCCCAAACCCCAACAATCAATTCATGATTCATTAAGTCTATGTGTGGGTATATAACCAAAATAACCGAAAGGGGAGACTGAAGATATATATATATACACACACAAGCATAGCATTTTTCCTACAACAGCCACTAAGTGGGCACTGCCCAAGTGGCCATTAATGAATCCATGAACAAAGTGTGGCATGTATGTAAGACAGGACAGTCAGCCTTAAAAAGGAAACTCTGACCCAATCTTCACCACAAACAAGACTTTATGCTAAGTACAATACTCCTGATCTAACAAAGAAACTACTCAATACTATCATATGGCATATCCAGAGTAGTCAACTTCATAGAAACAGGAAGAAAAATAAAAATGGTAGTTTGCCCAAGACAGGGAGGAAGAGCAGAAGGGTAGTAGGCATAGAGTTTCCGTTTGAGAAGATGAAGACTGTCCTGGAGCTGGGTGGTGGTGATGATAGCTACACTGATATTAGTGTACTAACCTAAACTGAACTATTCAAAATAAAATCTAGGGCTATGGTAAGAGTTGTGAGTATAGTACTGGCTGCACAAGCGTCAGGATCTGAGCTTGAATTCTCAGAACCCACATAAAAGCCAGAACCCAGTAGGCAGTCGGAGTCAGAATTTTGTAAAGCTGATGCCAGCTACACAGTGACTCTTATTTCAAAGACAGGGCAATGGATGCACCATGTAAGTGTCTGTAATCCCAGTCCTCCTACAGGAAGATGGGAGGCAGACAGGAGTCTCCCTGAAGCTCATGGGCCCACTAGCCTGGCATACACAGTACTGATGAGACTCCCTCAACACAATGGAAGGTGGGGACTGACACCCAAGGCTGTCCTCAGAGTTTCACATGCATGCTACAGCAAACACGCACTAGCACTCTCATGCATGAACTGTGCATACACACAATGAAAATAAATCCTACCCACGCTTTCCATTAAGGTATCAGTTAAGATACTGTTATAGCAAGCAGAACGGAATTTATAATAATGCAATACAAGTATACTGTAAAACCCTGTGTCTTTTGATACCTCATGAATAAGAAAGCACATCTTATTTCTACAACAATTACAAGAGAACTGTAATAATGGTACTCCTACAAGTGCATGTTAATTCTAGTTCCCGTGGGATTTCTAGTGCTGGAGACTGAAGTCCAGGCTTTGCATTTGCTTGGCAGTCACTTTACCACTGAGCTAAATCCCCAGACCCATATATACTAATTTATCATTATGAGTTAAATTAAAAGCCAACCACATTAGCAGAGCAGTTTGTTAAATTTAACTGATTATGATTTTAACTAACCTTTGTGTGTCTTCCATCTCCTTTACAAGACGCTCTAAAGTATTTGTATAAGTTCCACTCTGAGCATATTCCTAAAACAAAAAGAAAGTTTGAAAAAATACTTTATAATTTATCTTAGTAGAAGAACTGGGATATTAAGTTACTCAGAGTACTATTGACTATTTTCTGTTGGTAACCTGGGTCTGGATGATACCCTTCTTAAAGAAAAAATTTCACCACCATGCTTTAAATCTAGCATTCTATACTGCAGGCAATTTTATCCCAACATCCATTAGGAGGGAAGCTGCCTGTAAAACCCTGCTAACCTCAGGATCTGGATGCAAACACCCAAGGGCTCTGTGGTGTCCCTATCTTTGCTTCTGCATTCTATTTTAGTGAAATCAAACTACTACTAATTTTTAGGTGTTAACATGGAATATTATACCTTCCCCACCAAACTTTACAGAAATGGTAAAATTAATACAGTTTACTCCCAAGATAGAATGAAGCACTTTATAAATAAAATTGCACACCACAATTAACAACGTTTCTACACTCTACCTTCATTTACAGCAGTGGTCTCCAAAGCAGGGGGTGTGCAAGGTGATCCATTGGGGTGCAGGAAGAAAATAATAGAACTTCTATTTATATGGAACTTCTATAGAAACTCCAGAAGAACTTAATCTATAGTAACGTCTATGTAACTGCCACAGGAAAATACTTAATTTTTCTTTTTCCTTCTAAATTCTGTTTTTGTATATACTTTATTTCAGTACACAATATTATAGTGGTACATGTATAGATTCTATAAGTTGCATATATATTGGGGTACATGCTTAAAGTTTTCTTTTAATAAAAAAGTACATGTGATCAAAAAAGTTTGGAGACCACTGATTTACAATAATAAAATTGAAGATATGGGGAACTCATTTACCAAAAGAGAAATTGACACCCATGTTAGTCAGTCTAATGATGAGTTGTAGTGGTAAACACTGAATTTAAAGTAAGTTAGCAATCTATCTTCTTTAATTAATCCATCTTTTCCCCGTCAAGTGAAGACAAACAATCACAGAACTACTTACTATGTAGTCTGATGACTGGGGTTTAAGCCCCTTGGAAAAGGCAGGAGGCTTCCCTGAAGCTGCAGGCCTGGGCTGGTTGAAGTTCAAAGCCATTATTTCTTCCAGTGATTTTAATGTTTCCTCTTCCTCATCACTCTCTAAGTTGTAACCTAAACTTTCTTCATCGCTATCAAAATCACCCCCGAATTTCCTTTTCAGTGCACTGCTACCTGCATTGGAATTTCCTGAACTCTCTTTATCTGAAGGTGCTGCAGGGCTTGGGACACGCGGCACAACTTCCAAGGCAGCTGGGGGAGACTCTGTAGGAGGGCTGTACTCTGAATGCAAAGATCCCCCAGAACTTTTCCCTGAAGATTCATTAGAAACAGCCTTTATAGTCTTTGCTTTGTGTTCCTTGTGTTTGGAGGATTCTGTAGAATGCCCAGAACGTTCTTTAGAGGAGGAACGCTCTTTATCTTTTTTAGGAACTGGAAGAGTGCAATTTTTAGCATTTAACGGTACTCGAGAGGAAACAGCACTTGGAACATGGGAGAGTAAAGGTAGTTTTGTCTCTTTTGATGTCACACAGCCAGCCGGTTTACTTTTCTGAAGGTTGCCAGCTCTTTTAATTGTAGATTTTTCCTGAGGTAAAGGTAAGTGGGGTTTCTGTATTTTAGTCTCTTTGGTACTTGTTGCGTGGACTTGGTCACTATTCCTGGAAGAATGGTGGCCAGAATTTGAAGGTGCCAAGTCTGCAGAAGAACGATCTCTTTCATCATCAGGTTCCTTGGCTATGTCTTCCAAGCGCAGAACACCACCAGGTGTCTTCAGTGCAATGTGTCTTATAAACTTTTCTCTCTGATGTGATGTGTCTGGACGCTTCTCTAGAAAGGACTCTTTTGCTTTTGGTATGATAGATTCTTTTGTGCTTTTCAGATCTGAGTCCACAGAGTTCCTTTTTCTTTTGTCGGAGAATTTATTCTGCTTAGAGCCTAAAATTAATTTTTGTCACATCAGTGAAAAGTATACTGTTCTGTCTCCAGGTTATTCACAGAACACTCTGATGAAATGCTTAAATTCTAAGTTTATGCTGAAATTATTCAATATATCTATATAAGATGAAGAAAGAGAACAGATAGCGATGTCCAAGACATTTAGAACTAACGACATATGCTTATTTTAGGGCTAGTCTACTAGGTTACTATCTTACCAAAGACATCAACCACTCCTTAAAACTTAAGACCTTGTACACTGGCACTAATGAAGGGATTCTAGAGTACTTCTGCTCGAAGTGAATACTGTTTTCAAGCCCCAAGCCACCTCGTTATAGAGGAAATGAAATACGTCTACATCTAAAGGTGTGGGGTTTAGATTATAAGCAGATACAGGATTAAAAGGCAGATAAATAACTTATTTAAAAAGAGATTCACTGGGTGTTGTGGTACATGCGTTTAATACCAGCACTTGGGAAGCAGAGGCAAGGGGATCTTTGGAATTCAAAGCCAGCTTGATCTACATAGAGTTCTAGAACAACCAAAACTACATAGAGAGACCCTGTCTCAAAAAATTAAAAAAAAAAAAAAAAGCTGGGTGCTGGTGGCGCATGCCTTTAATCCCAGCACTCAGGAGACAGGGGCAGGTGGATCTCTGTGAGTTCAAGGCCAGTCTTGTCTACAGAGCATCTTCCAGGACAGTCAGGAATACACAGAAAAACCGCTGTCTAGAAAAACAGTAACAACAAAAACAATGCAGGAAGAGCAGTCAGCTGACTAAGAGACAAGTTTGAGGTAGTTAAGCAGAGAATCTTAAGTGTGATATTACAAAGACAGTAACTACAGAGCTGGGTTTTGTCCCAGCATACTAGGAAAACAGATCATTTATATATAGACAGAGGACAAAGTCTTGATTTGGTCAGAAATATCTAGAAACACACAAACATTGCTTAAGAAAATACTTTAGGACAAGTCAGATTACTAAGAGTTGTTACTATTTCATCTAGGTATAGTGGTCCATGCCTATGAGCAGAGTACTCTGGAAACAGATGCAGAAAGATCTTGAATTTGAGAGGACTGAGCTAGTACCTCAGGTAGGCTTCACTTTTGTGTGTGTACAAACATGTGGGAGCCAGAGGTTGATGGCCTATGCCTTTGCTCGATACCTTGTTTCTAAGGCAGTCTTTCATTGAAGCTGGGATCATCATTTTGTCTAGACTGGCTGACCAGTGAGCTCCTGGACATCTTTTTCTGTTCCCTGGACAATGGGATCACAGTCTCACTAACCCTAGCTTTTACATGTGTGCTGGGGATCCAGACTCAAGTCTTCATGCATGCACAGGAG